ATGATAACCCTGAGAGAAGGCTGATTGGTCGATAACTTAAAGGAGAGGACGGATCCATCCCAGGTTTCCGGATGGGTATGACTTTAGCTGACTTCTAGCACGAGGGGAAGTAGCCAAGCCTGAGGCACAGATTAAAAATCAGTGCCAGATGGTTGTAGAATCTGGAACTCAAGTGTTTGAGTCCAGATTCAGGATGTTGTTGAAACCTGGGGCCTTCATATTTTTAAATTATTTAAAATAGACCAACAGTTCGTCAGCAGAAATCTCGGATTCCTCGGGAAAAATGTTGGGAATCTGATGAAGATTGGTTGCATTTTCAGCAACCTCAGCTTCGTGAGGGCTGACGATGTTTTGTCCGAGATTATGGGAGTTGACGAAATGTTGACCTATCGCGGCAGTCTTCTCTTCATGAGTTATCAGATGAACCACTGGGTCGCTGGGACGGTCCAATGGAGTCAGTGGGTCTTGGCCTATTTTTAAGGATTTTCGTTAGTTTCCAGAAGAGCTGTGCACAACCTAGGAGAGAGCCGATCTTGTTAGCAAAATCCTGATTTCTAAGGTCCACCTTAGATGATGATTTCTAAGGTCCACCTTGGATGGTTTTTGTAAGATGATTGCAATGGGTCTTCAAGACACGCAAACCAGAACGCTGGTATTGCCTTCGGATGGAGCTACGGAGTCTGATGAGATTTTTGGTAATTCTATCAAGGTTCAGAGTATTGCTCACCTGTCTGGATACTGGCACGTCAGCCCCGGAATGTCGTCTCCTCGATGGAACGCAGATACCGGTCAACATCTTCGGGCGTCCCAGAGTTGGAACTGCTCCCAGCTGACACGATGATAGTTGCGTCGGGAAGCTTGGAATCGGTTGACGGATGAGGCTACATCGGCCACCACCGGATAGTGGTACGAACTGAGCTCCTGGTGGGTCACAGGTAGTGAGATGTTGTCTTCCATGTTGTTTAACTTTTAGTTTTTAAACTAAAACATATAAAAAATAAAATAGAGCAACAGACTAGATTCGAATCAAGAACCTTACGATTATAAACCCATAGTTTGACCACTAGACTGTTGGTACTTATATAAGATGGATGGCAAAAGGCGAGATAACTATGTAGTGCGGTGAACTCGGTTTTCTAGGTAACGCTTGAAGCGGTCATGATTCCGCTGCATTATGAAATCACAAATTTCCATAACGAAATCATGAATCATTGTTATGATTTCATGGGAGGGCAAGTTTTTTGATTTCATGATTTTTTATTCATGAAAATGGAATCGGATTTTTCCCGTGTAGGTCTGCTGCCGACCCGTCCCTGATGGTGACTTTCTTGGGGCAGTAGGTCGCAATGATGGTGATAGGGCTGACAGAAGTGGAGACTTCTACCCCTAAAGCTTCGATGATTTTGTAACCGTTTATTACAAAACATGTTAGATTTTTAATTTGTGCATAGTTGTTAAATGTACCGTCACGTCTCTTAAAGTTATTTGGTGTTGGATTAGTAGGGTTAGTAGTCGTTGTAAAAAAATGTTAATTTGTTAGTAGGATTAATTGTTTTTAAATTTGAAAATTATGTAAAACCGTACAACAGTGCACTGGGTATGAGTATTCTACCAGTGGGTACAACAACATTCGGGCGAAACTATGAATTCAAAATGGGTGGAAAATAACGTCTCACGAGAAGAGCAATGGGATGGGAAAAGCGCGAAGGAAAACCGCCATTCAATCAGTATCTGGCGTTCGTGTGCTTCGGACCGTTAAAACCAAGTGTCCTCAAAGTAATAAAAGTGAGTGGTGAATCGCGTGAATACCTATCTGTTCAATCAGGTAATACGGCTTGGCTAATTAATTACGGATAGGTAACATTAATCGAATGACCGTAGACTAGTACGATAATTAATTAAAATAAACCCCGTTGCCCTCACAGGACCTTTTTGTGATACCATTCGGTACAGCGCCATTTTGTGAACCAACCGACTAAGTCGGTCAGGAAGCACACGAGTCGGATTATTGGTCCTTAGTGGCGTCATTTTGACTTCGATTTAATGCAAACTTGGAGAAATTATTCAATCAATGGGACTTGCAGAAATTTTCATATTGTAAAAGTAACAATCCAAGAAACTGCATTTTTAATCATAATAGAACATACTGGGCTGTGGAATATTTTGAAAGCTCTTAGAATTGGAATTATTTTTCGAGACAACTTCCTTTCCTCCTTGTAGCAAATCAACATGAGTAAGAATCGTTGAATAATATCACAGCAATATGCAGCTTACAATAATTTAATTCTTGGCAGAATTGTCTAGGAATGCTACCTGTGTTTTCCATAAATTGCTTTTCAGACATCTTTTGATAAAATCCATGTTCTTCCAATTTCCTGGAATCTCTCTCATTTTTTTAATCATAAGGCTTGTACTCGAAAAAAATGCACCATTTTTATCCGTGTGTAACTTTTTTATCCGTGAGTAAAAATTGATGAAAATCTGGGCATAACTATTTTGGAGTGAATTGTTTATATGTGCAAAATTTCATAACAATCGGTTCAGTGGTTATTGAGATGTCATCGAAACAAGAAGAAAATCGCCGGAGAATTATGCGCGCCGTCATGGAAAATCCGACTGCGGCCATGAGATGGATCGGAAGACAACTGGGAATCACCCATACAACTGTGTCTCGGGTGGTAAAATCGTTTAAGGAGTCCCAGAAGTGTTCCACCTGGTTCGTTCAGCAAACCATGAAACGAGCTGGGCTTCGTGTATTCAAAGTCCGGAAGGCACCGAACCGGCGTGATCAACAAAACACGGCGGACAAATCCCGCGCAAGGAAGCTGTATCGAGAGTGGTTAACGAAACCGATGTGTGTGGTTATGGATGACGAAACCTACATCAAGGCAGACGCAAAGCAGATACCGGTGCAGGAGTTCTACGTTGCCAAATCACGGTTTGATGTTCCGGAAGACATAAGGAAGAAGAAAGTGGACAAATTCGCCAAAAAAATACTTGTTCTGGTAGGCCATATGCCAATGCGGTAAACTTAGTAAACCGTACATCACAATGGGTACCATCAACAGCGAAATTTACCGCATCGAGTGCCTCCAGAAGCGTCTGTTGCCCTTCCTGCGGTCCCACGGAGGCGAGACATTATTTTGGCTGGACCTGGCATCATGCCATTACGCGCGAACGACGTTGGATTGGTACAGAGACAATAACCCCCCAAATTCACCAGAGATTCGTCCGGTGGAAAGATTTTGGGCCATAATGAAGGCCAAAGTTCGAAAATCGTCGAAGGTGTTTAAGAACGAGCTGGAGTTGAAGAAAGAATGGATGAAAGTAACCAAAAAGGTCGGCTCCACCAATGCACAAAATGTAATGAGGGGTCTTAAGGGAAAAGTGCGGGCTTTCAGCGATGGAAAGGAAATTGAATAAACTAATTATGCCGAAACATAATCCATATGTATTAGTTCATTCCCTGGAAGTTTCAAGAAAATCCGACTTAAAATTTTTGGCGGACACTTTTGTCTGGTTCATTTTTTTCGAGTACAGGCCTAGTCGGAAATTCTGAGCGGCCTGGACTTTGTTCCTATGACTCTGTGCGTATGATTCCCACACCGGAGCTTCAATTACATATAGAAGCATATGTTTTATTTGAAAAAGTTCATCGTTCGTCATTGAGGACTTTAGACCCTTTGCGCCACCTCTAAATGTCAACAAAAAAAAGCAAAAAAATGGATATGCTACTTTATTAGTCCAAATAATCGTTTTCCAAAATACGCTGGAGTAGCCATCATTGAGTTTAATGAAGAGATATTGTTAAAGTAAGACCAAAGGGACATTTTAAAACGCAATATTACCAAATAAATTCGATTACTTAGTAACGTTGTTCTCAAGCTAGAAAATGAACCAAAACATGAATAAAAAAAGATAACAGAGAATTGTTGAGCGTGAAAGAATTTACCAAAATATATTTTTAGTTAAATAAAATTTAATAAACATAAATATCCTGCAAAAATCAACTTCAGAGGTCTTCACAATTTAAGATCATCTTGTAATTACAACTCAAGTACATTAACACATACCCAAACCAAACCAGTTTTACCCCGGTCGATTGACATCCATCGAATCGCATACGATTGCGATCCAACGCGCAATCAAGCTTCTGGTGGCGGCAAAATGTCAAAAGTCGCATAAAAAGTGCCGATCGATATCTTACTGACAGATGCACACCGTTCAGTTTACTCTATACTTCGGCCTAATCTACGATCAAGCGACCGGAGACTTGTAAATTTATCAAACCAGTGCAGTCGGAGATCTTCACCACACGATATGCCCTGCTTCTGTTCTCGAACTTGAACTAGAGCAAGTCTCTATAGTTGCTGTGCAGTTTATCCCTCCGTGTATAATTAGATTGTGTTGATAAGCAAACGTGAGACCAACCGCATTTTGAATTTTAGATGCCCTTAAAAAATGCGCCAAATGTTTTCCTCGTTCCCGCGGTGATGCAGCAACGACGATGGAATAATTACCAAATTTGAGCGAAGTGCAATGCCAATGTGATCGTGGATGACAGCAGCTTCGACTGGAGTTTGTGTAGCAAATGCAGCAATCGGAAATGGGAGATTCTGAAACAATGGTTCTGGTAAAACAAATTTCCCATTCGGTAAAGTGCAAGGCCACTCAAATTATCATTCAAAACAGTTGTCTTTGATGTTTACTTCTGTGGATAAATTTGAATTTGAACAATTAGTTTTCCCAGGGTTGATGACTTCACATCAGCAAACAAGACATCTAACTCCAGGGAAAGCATGCATTTTCTTTCACAGTGTCAACGATCGCGACAAAAGCAATACCCGCGCTCGCCTATGCCATTGTAATTCAACCTTGACACTACTTTAAGACAGAAAACAGCCATCGTCAACTTGTAATCGCTCTCGTAATCTAAAGATCCAATAACAATAACAAAAACAATGCTCATTTCTCTTTCACTTTTCCCAATGTCCCAGCAGAGTCGAACCTTAAATACCATCAAACAATAGACGACTAAGAGGCATTGGAAGATAGTGAGTGCTGAACGCACTTTCCCACCAGAAAACACAAAGAAAGTCAGTCCGCGTAAACATGAGTAAATCCACGTCAACTGTCGTACTTTTCACCCTGCTGGTGGTGGCGCTGGCCGTAGTCGTGGAAGCCGCCAAAGAGAAGCACATCAAATACAAGGAGAAAGACATGATGCGAAAGTCGATCGTCTACGATAAGAACACGCCGGATGTGTTCTACTGCCCGATGAACAAACCCACCGGAATGGACAAGATGATTGTGAGGTGAGTATTTGGATTTAGTTTATGCGAGTGAGTTGGCTTACGAGTTGGCTTATTAAAGCCCAGTCGGTTTGCTAGCCTGTTCAAAGCTTTCAAATTATATTTTCTACAATATTTTTCAACTAAGAGCATGACAGCTTGACGCATCAAAACACACAAGTTTGTTGTTATTAGATGGCAACACTGCTCGGATATAATCAATTAAAACTCAATATCTCGATATCGTTTCAAGATAGCAACTTCGAATGTTCAGTAAAGTTGAAGTATGAGTCAAGAGCCAGTCAAGTTTGCCGTCAATGATTCTCATATGACATCACAGCTAAAGTAAATCCAAATAAAGCACAATATTTCGATATCGGTTCAAAATGACGACTACGAATGTTCAGCAAAGTCAGCCAGGGTTGCCGCAAATGTTTGAAATTCAGCCAGTAGATGGCAACACTCCTCGAGTAGAATCAAATAGAATTCAATATTTTAATGTAGCGATTTCAAATGTTTACCAAAATTAGAATATGAGTCACTTAGGAAAATACTGATTCACTTCAGGAAAGATCGAAATCACTTCGAAAAGGGCTGAATCACTTCATAAAATTTCGGAATAACTTCGGGAAGTACCGATTCATTCCAGAAAAGTATCACTTCTGCAAGTTCTGAACCACTTCGGAAAGAACTGAATCATTTTTAAATAGTTTGAAGCCGCTTCAGAAAGTACTGAAACGCTTCAGAAAATTTCGGACTTTGGAAAGTACTGAATAATTTCATAAAGTTTTTAATCACTTTCGCAAGTACTAAATCACGTCTCACGTCTTCGGAAATAACTGAATCACTGAATTATTTCAGAACTGTTCGGAATGACTGAACCACTTAAGAAAAGTTTGAAATCACTCCGGAAAGTACTGAATCAATGCATAAGTAAGTGAATCAGTAGTTTCCAAAGTGATTGGAAACATTTTTGAAGAGGTTCAGTACTTTCTGAAATTATTCCGAAGATATCTGAAATTATTTAGTACTTTCCGAAATAATTACAAACTTTGATTATTTTTTTTCCAAAGTGATTCCGAAATTGTCCAAAGAGATTCAGTGCTTTTCGACATGATTGCGATTTTTTTCTGAAGTGAATCAGTACTTCTGAAGTGAATCCATACTTTTATTAAGCGATTCACTACTTTCCGAAGTGATTTCGAATCTTTCGAAGTCATTGTCATGAAACGATACCTAATAATTGAGATTTATTTGATTCTGCTCAAATAGTGTTGCCATCTACCTGTAAAATTGCTTGTCATTTATGACAACTCTGGCTGGCTCTTGACTCATAGTCCAACTTTGCTGAAAGCTTGAAATCATTACCTTGGAACCAGAGACGATGTTTTATAAGAGACGCGCGGAGAGAATAAAATTAAATCTGGTTTGGCAACCCGCAATTTTATGTTTACTTCGAGGGACTTTTAATTTGAGAGAATATCTTTTTATTCATTTCGGTAGTATCGGTATTCAAACGAAGTATTTAAATAATCAATTTTTGACAACACTGAGTGAAACCAAATATACTACATTGTAGGGGATATTTTATAGAGCTTTGCGCAAAATTATGCAATCTGTGATTCATGATTCCTACCGGGTATGAATGAACCCTCGATTTTTTTTTCGAATGGACGTATCTGCTTTTGTAAACAATGCATTTGACGGATTTCACGCCAACTCATCCAGTGGTTGGCAGCACCCTCTCAGAACCTTATGGAACTTTGTGGGTGTGGAGACTTAGCAATTTTAAGCAACTTTGCGTACTTATTTTTTTCAAAATTTATCTCGTCTAACATTTGATAAGGGTCAAAGTTTTTTGTCGATTTTTTTTTCAAATCGATATATAGCTTAAAAATGACAAGCCCTACAAAAAAGTGATGTATGGCGAACTTTTAGCAAATAATCTGAAATTTTATAAAAAAATTTAAATAAAATAAAAAATCGGTTTCTACACTCTAAAAAAATATATTTAAAAATTAAAAGTCATTTTCCCAAAAATGGTACCCCTCAGATTTGCTTGATATTTTTTCTCATGGAAGGCAATATAATTACCTAACTTTTCTTCATACATCGCAAAGTGGGCGCTTTTAAGGAAAAAAAGTTGTTCGAACAACAACTTTTTCATGTTAATTTTTTTTAGCGTGTTTCACTCAAAGTCGAATAGTAATACGCGCACAACCTTATTAAAATTCGATTAAACTTTATGGGTATACTTTTCGATAATCTGGGCGAAATCTAGCCTAACATTTGAAAAGGGTACAGAGAAGTTACCTGCAAATCGTCCAATAAGAGTTCAGAACAAAACGTTCTAATGAGGAACAGCCATCTCAGCATGGTTTGCACTTTCCTGTGATGGATTGTATTATAATATATGCATACACTCTATCCAACTTCTATAAAACCGCCCTCAAATTGTTCCAAATCAATAGGTAAACTAAGTAAAAATCACTTAGTATGTTTTATTCATGAAAAGATTTCAATTCATGTATTTGTGATTAATTTAATTAGAAAAATAATCATTCATTTATTTTTATGTATTAGGTGTGTCCATTAGTAAGCAATATGCATATATATGTTTATACCTCATCTCTCAAGTGAATACATATAATAGCGCAGGTAACTTAACGATTATTTAAGGCATGCCTAAAATAATCGTTAAGTTACCTGCTATATAGCAGTTATATAACAACGCAGGTAGTCACATGAGAGATATAAGGTATAAACTTAAAGCACCGCAGTCTGTTTCTACCGACATAATCTAATATTTAAGTTTGGTGATATCACAACAATGCTCATAGTTGCTGTAGTGCATAGTTGTTGAAAGTGTAGTGCTGCATAGTTGTTGAAACGAAAAAGTGTTTATATATACAACAATGGAAAAATCTGCTGAATTGATTATTAAAAGGGTGCAATGTAGTGCCAACATAAACAATCCCAATTGCAGCCGCAATAATTTACGTAATTTATCATCAAGTCTCATAGAGAAAATACATTCATGGGGCTTTGATCATCAATTGGATGTAACAATGCGTATTTGTGAATCGTGTCGTGGAATTTTAGTGCACAATAGGACACCTCTCCCGAAAAAGAGGCGATCGGATGGAAAAGAATCAAGCCATGCTCGGAAGTTTGAAGAGCCGCAACCATCAACAAGTCATCAGCAATCAGAACATCAGGAATTTGATGATACACTAGGTAAATAATAATAACTTTAACTGTTTCAACTGTGTGGTTTAAGGATTTTACATCGAAGATACAACTTCATTTTCAACATTTTTTTAGAGCACGAGCTGGATGAACCGCTTATCGTACAAATTTGATCGATTGGTAGGCCAACCTCGGTGAACAATCTATCAAATGTTCACGACTGTACGATATGCGGTTTATGCAGCTCGTGCTCCACAAACATGGGGAAAATTCAGATGCGGCTTCGATGTACCGTAAACGGGGATGTCTTTGATAATGGAGGTAACTTTGATAATGCAGCTAATCCAAAAAGTTATGACTTAATGCTCTTCGTATTCATTATTTTGGAAGGGAACATCGGTTTCCTATCCAAAATATTGCGTACGATGTGCCTTAAGTCATAAATTTTTGGCTTAGCTGCATTACCAAAGTTACCCCTATTATCAAAACCACCCCCGTTCATGGTACTATCACCTTAACAGCGTTATATATTAATGTGTGGTTATATTTTTTTTTCTTTTCTTTAATTTTACAGATACAGATCCATCGCTAGAATCAATCCCATCAGCGGATCAGATCCAAGGTCCATAAACAAACAGATACAAGCATAACAAAATTGAACTTCTGCTTCATATCAAATGATCAATACACAAAGATGTCCGATGAACTCAAGGAGCTGTTCAGTCATGTAAAAACTATACCTGGTACACAAAAATTTCATTGTTTTGTACCTATTTCTCAAAACATAATTTCTACTAAGCGATTTTCACATTCAAAGGAAACTCCGAAAAATTTCACTCTGTTTCCGATAGACTAATAATCAATGAAAAACTCAAATTATGTATGGAGAATCATAGGAAAATAAATTATGCACTAAACAAAAACACTAGAGTTTTCATTTATTAAAACACCATTCGAAATGCAGAAAAATCCTCTGTATTAGGCCCTTTCAAATGTTAGGCTAGATTTTTGTTTTAAGCACGCCCAGATTATCAAAAGGTCAAAATCTTTATGCTCATTAAGTTTCAACGGATTTTAATAAGGTTGTGCGCGTATTACTATTCGACTTTGAGTGAAACACGCTAAAAAAAAATTAACATGAAAAAGTTGTTGTTCGAACAACTTTTTTTTCCTTAAAAGCGCCCACTTTGCGATGTATGAAGAAAAGTTAGGTAATTATATTGCCTTTCATGAGAAAAAATATCAAGCAAATCTGAGGGGTACCATTTTTGGGAAAATGACTTTTAATTTTTAAATATATTTTTTTAGAGTGTAGAAACCAATTTTTTAATTTATTTAATTTTTTTTATAAAATTTCAGATTATTTGCTAAAAGTTCGCCATACATCACTATTTTGTAGGGCTTGTCATTTTTAAGCTATATCGATTTGAAAAAAAAATCGACAAAAAACTTTGACCCTTATCAAATGTTAGGCGAGATAAATTTTGAAAAAAATAAGTACTCAAAGTTGCTTAAAATTGCTAAGTCTCCACACCCACAAAGTTTCATAAGGTTCTGAGAGGGTGCTGCCAACTCCGAAGACGAGTTGGCGTGAAATCCGTCATTTGCTCGTCGATTTAGCTTAACTGGTAGCGCACCCATGCATGCACTACCTGATAGTGGTGTCAGTATGCGTGGGTGAGCTACCAGTTACGCTGAATCGACGATCAAATGCATTGTTTACAAAGGCAGACACCAAATTCATTATCTTGACAGATTACACCGAAAACACCATGATCAACGTTACAGGGCCTGTGTATATGTTTTTCGTTGCACTGGAGCGCATATTTCGTGAATACAGCTGATGAATAACAATTTATAATTTTACATAAATATTTGCTTTTTGACATTGATGTAAATATAAAAAAAAAATAATCAAAAAGATTTTAATTGTGTTTTCCAATTGCAGTTTTCATACGCAAACTTAAATTTCAAAAATTAAATTTCAACCGCCATTTCCTTCTTGTGAAGCGCTCGTGTTTATTTACATTGCTCGATTGGAACCGCGTTTGACGGTTTGATTGGAACTTTTGGCTTCAGTCTTCGCGTGTCTTTTATTAAAGATCGTCTTCCAATTAACAATTTTGGTTTTATGAGGGTTCTATAGACCATGATTTAGACTTGTAGAATGCTATAAAACCTCTATAAAGCTTGCAATGTTACTTGGGCTGCTTGGAACGATACAGATATATTGAGTTTCAGTTGAATCTACCCGGGGAGTGTTGCCATCTAACGGCAGAAATATGAGTCATTCATAGCCACTCTGGATGGCTCTCGACGCCCACCTCAACTTTGCTTATCATTCGATGTCGCTATCTTGAAACGAAACCTATATATCGAGCTCTGTTTGATTCTAATCGAGCAGTGTTGCCGTCTTTCAGTAGAAGTTAGCGTCATTCATGGCAACTCTGGTTGGCTCTTGACACATTCTTCAACTTTGTTGAACACTCGAATTCGTTATCTTGATGCGATACTGAGATATGTAAGCTGCGGGTTACCTGTCACCCTATCCAGCTTTCGATGCTCGGTAATGGCGGCCAGTTTGTACGAGTAAATGTATCCTTCACTGTGCTTTTTGACACTAACTGGAAGGCGTATGTTGTTCCATTTTCTTCTGTTCCTGGGAGAGGAAAAGGGAGGGTTCAAAATCCGAACATCCAGATAGTGTCAAAAAGCACAGTGAAGGATACATTTATTCATACACACAGGCCGCCATTACCGAGCATGGAAAGCTGGATAGCTGGCCCGATTTACCCCGGTGGGGCGGCTACGAGCAGGGTACTTTCCCCAAAGACGTTCGGATTTGGATGGATTGATAGGAAAATAGAGAAAGATGTAATTTAAGACGTCTATTAGCTATTCAGACCTTCCCTTCCTCCTTGCTGATTCTAGCTGTAGGTGGGACCTTCGACGATAGCGGTGGCGGTTGCTTTTCGTTCCGATTCAGGTCGGCTCCAGACACGGTTTGTGTCGAGCATCTCCTCTTCTTCTTCACTTTGGCTGCCTAGCAGCGGTCCTTAGCGTTTAGCGGGGGCATGAGCGAGGCTCCTTTTTCGGAACTCCCCCGGTGAAGATGAAGGCGAAGCGAAGCACCGAACCAACTACTCGCCGTAGATGGTCACAGTAGTCACTGCGTTCTCCTGCAATGGATAAGTTTTCAGGTTTTTTGACAGTTAGCCCATGCATTAACTCTCGCGTCACTTTTCAAATAGACCAATGTAACATATCCACCATTTTGAGAAAATCGAAGTTGAAGTTCGACAGATTATTATTTTAACTGTTTAAAAACAAAACATTTTGCAATACTATTTTTAATGTAGTCAGTGTATAATAACGTTGAAAATTCAGAAGAAACGGTAAAATCACAATTTTACTTTGAATGTCATGATACAACATATAAAAACCACATAGGACGTTTTGACAAGTCGAGTTGTACATCGGACATGTTACATTGGACGATTTTTCTCAATGACATAATCAATGAGTGTTACATTGGACGTTTTGTCCACATGATACTAGATTCCCTTTCACAGATTTCAGAGTAGAGTACCTAACTTTTGATTGACCCCGCCTTTATAAAATGAGCACCAATCATGTTAGGCAGTCCGAATGACCGAAGTAACAATCATGTACCCATTATTTCAAACTGTACCTTGGAAAATTTTTGACTTATGATTATCAGTTACTGTCAAAAACCCGACAACTTATGCATTGTGCGCCATCCTTTATGCTGCCTATGATTTTCACCTTCTTTTGCAGCGGGAAGAGAAATGAGACCAAGCTTCACTCAAAACGCGAGACAATTCCATACGATATTTTTCCCTACATTCTAAAGCACCTAACATGAATAAAATTAAAGACAAAAACAACGATTAAAATATATATTAAAACAACAGTGGTGAGTATGTTTCATGAGCGTACGACCAAAACAAATCATGACAGACAAGACACACGCTCATAGCAAACACGTTAAGGGTGGTTAATAATTGTCGCCCTTGAAGATATTTAGAGGCAATTGTAAATTAATTGATACCTCTATTTATATGATATGGTAGGTACCCCACGGTATTTTGGCCAAATTCCAGCATATCGGATGGTATCGAAACTGTCTATCCTTCCTTCCTCCTCGCATTTCAAGCTTATTGCGTATGGCATATTAGCTTATTGCGTGCTCTCAACTTAGTGTTCTAGTTGCACTTCCACAGTTATTAATTGAGAGTTTTCGATGCCTGTACCATTTTTGCATTGATATAATTGTGTGGCAAGTCCAATCATATTTCTATGCCCAGGGAAGTCGAGAAATTTTCCAACCCTGAAAAATTCCTAGACCGAACCGGGAATCGAACCCAGCCACCTCCAGCATGGTCTTGCTTTGTAGCTGCGCCTTTGCCGACTGAGCTAAGGGAGACCCCATCGAAACTGTCTATATTTGTTATAAAATTTGGAAAATTTGTGATCGAATGAAACATATTTCATCAAAATTGATTTGAATTTTTGCCGAGCTATCCTAATTTTTTAGTTTTTGAGTATGTTGGTATCGTAAAAGTTAATATTGATGTTTTTTTCAAAATTCTTTGCGGTTTTCGGATATTTTCTGACGTTTCCCAAATTTGTTAAAAACGCCCCGTAGCTTTACTAATTCATTCATGCTCGTTTATAGCCTGGGTAACATCCGAACGAGTTCCGAACTTTTTCCGGATGTCACCAGAGATGTAACCAGTGCCCTTGAATAGCACCTAAATCGATTATATTACAAAGACTAATCCATTAGTGGTTCAGATTAAATCTCTGTAACCACATTTGACCATATCCGGACTTCCTCCGGAAACCTCCGGGGAAAAGACCAGAACTTAAATACTAGCAAAAACGGTCATGCAACATTTCAAACGGCGTCAGCATTCAATTACTAAACCATTAGTGATAATATTAAATCTTTAGGGCCATATTTGATCATATCCGGACATATTCTGAACTTGTTCCGGATACTCCCGGAGAGACCCCGGAACAGATTTAGTGATGACACCAACGGATTAGTCTATGTGTCGCATGGTTGATTATGGTACTATTCAGACTTCTTCAGGCAAGTTTCGGTAACAATTGGCTAGTTTAGGAAAATCTAGGAATTATCAGGAATGTTCGGAGAGCTTCGAAAATGTTTCTTAAACTTCAGACATAAAACTAGATAAATTCAAAAAAGTTGAGAATGGATACATATATTTTCGAGCCACATATTGGTGAATTTAAGAAACTTAAGAGAAAACACATAGAGCATGCATTAATTTTTATTAAATTAATTTAGTAGTTACTTATACATTCCCAAATACAACAGTTACTGATCTATGCTACCATTTTTTTTAAGGTCTCGGCCGCTGCACAAGCTGTGCGAATTCGAGGGCAAACCTCTGCCACCGGACTACAAATCCGACTGCTACAAGGATCTGGACGAAAGCGACTACGCCTGCAAGGAGAAATACAGAATCATGGTAACTTTTCCACCATCCAAGGTCACTTTCCGAGGAGACCTTGTGCTATTGTCAAAATTCTCATAATCATTGAATTTTGGTTTTGTTTTATTTTTTTGAGATTGGCTTGTTTGAGTTTTTGCACTCAGTTTTCTTTGGTTTTTGTTTGTTTTAGGTTTTTGCAAAGCGTTGCTACTAATCATTAAATGGTGACAACTTATTTTTTTGGTTTCTCTCGCAATTTTCAGAAACGTTACGCCAAAGATAATACCGAGATCTAATCCAAAACGCATTTATCGCAAATATGCCTAAATAAAAAAATACACACTCGCCACACTGTACACCGCCCACTCAGCGCCACGCCATGAGCACACGCGAATCTATTCTACCTTCTTTGAATCTTTGAACATTGATTTCTACAAGACTCTGATACTGACTGCTGGACTTCTTTGAGCTCTCTTTTTCCTAAGTTTAACTGTTTTCTTTTTATTTTCTATTTATTTCAAATGTCTCTTCTACGTAACATAAATTAATGCCAAAAGGCTTATTAAATAAATTAAAACAATGCTTTAATATTCAAAACAAAATCAAATATTTCATTACCCAACAGTAAACAAACAATAATAAACAAAGGTTTCAATAGCCGGTTACCAAATATAACCAGAATGTTCCCACCGCCTTGTGCAGTGAAATATGCCGTCAATTTAACCTAGATTTCCTGCAATCATTTAAACTTAAACCTCAAAGTTTCCCGCAATTTTCAAAAAAGCTAGCAAATCAAAATATTTTCTTATGATAACATTTACACATTGGGTTACAAATTAGACCAATTGCTTCTTATGTCTAAACGTACAAAAAGTCTTGTCAACCACAAAAAACACGTAATTTAATTATAGATTTAAGTAAAAATCTCAAAAGACAAACACGTTTACCTACACCACACGTGCTTTGGAATAGGATAACCCAAATTGATGTGCAACGCCTACTAATTACGTGATGGAACGCATAAAAATGACAATGTTTACCATCGTGGCAGTGTTGCCAGGGTTTCAATAATTAACATTAATTAGCAAAATTACCTGTCACCTACCGATTGGTTTTGGGATATATCAACTAATCCAATTCCTTCTTGATTACTTCTTTCCAAGTTATGGATTAAGCCTCAAAATTATCGTTTCCCCTTCTAATTATGCCACCTATATCTAACCGTAATGTACTAACCTTCTCACCTTGCAAATACTATCATCGAAAATGTACACAAAGACGCAGCAGAACAATAGTTTTCAACGCATACGACGCTAATTTTACCATTTTTTGTACAAATTGTGACAACATTCAATCGAAATACACTGACATAAAACAAAACTACCAATCACACAAACCACATTGTCTGTACACAAAAGCACGAAGCATTCATTTCGCAGGGATCGCAACTAGCAGCAGGTGCGTATTAAGAGAGAGCTGTTTCAAGCTTGCATATAATTTTTTCTCTCGGTATTGGAACTAATCTTCTTAATAAAAAGCACTCACATTTTTCGATCTGAAAACTAATCCACAACCTCGCAACCTCCCACAGATGCGCATGCACCCACCGGGCAGTGATGCTCCCTTCAACGGATCCCGGCTGAGTCGGTTCATCGACATGGACGAAGACATGAAGCGAGTCAAGACCAAGAAGCATCATTAGTAGTGGTGGGGGAAGAACGAGTGCTTGTTTGTTGACAGAGAACACAAATTTTGAGTCATTAGAATAACTGTCCCGATCCGGAAAGAAGACGAGGAAGAAACTAAAACAACATTGTAAATAATCAAATTGCCATAATAGCTGCAAGATTTGCTTGGAACAACAGCTACCGAAATACTCGCACGTGCAATCAACTGACCGATTTTGAATTTTGTTACAACACTTTTTGTTAGCGTCAAAATATCACTGATTACATCAGACAGAGAATTTCGTTGATATTTAAATGTCATGACATTCTTCCTTCACCTGACAGCGACTGCTACCGCCAATGTGATGATTTTGTTTTTTGTTATTGAGTCTCTAATCTTGAATGGGGAATAATTGTTTTGTTGTGTAGACTTTGTAATGACAATACTTTTTTTTGTTTGATATAGGAAAGAAGTAATCGATTAACAGAATTGTGCTTAACGATCGAATGAAGTCAAAGGGTGACTTCTTTTTCATCGATTTAACTAAAATGGTTTCATTACAAAACAAAGGAAATCAGTGTAAGAATAATAAAACATAACATTTAAGCATTGTAAGTTTCGTGAAGTATCCGAAAATGCCCTTTAAATTGTTTTCCAACACTGCCGTCTGCCACTGACACTAAAACCACATACAAACAGACTTAATTCTTACTACTCAATCATCGTACACGCATTTAACGTTCAATTTACATATTACTAGCTGCGTGTATCCCCCACCACAGCGCTGGTATCGGATCACGTTGCCGTTTCTAAACATTCTGTCGAATTTGTATGCAACATTGTTTGCGACTTGGTAAGCAAGCTGTTTTCCACGGCCCGAATATACGCCTTTTTAATAGGAATTAAGCGATCGATTCAACCTCTGGTGGTGAGTGTAAGAACGTCAAAAAGAGTGTTGTGAGTAGAAATACTCAGAGGGAGAGATAGGCGGAGAAAACAAAATACAATTCGGCAGCAGGGATTTGTACCTAAATTATCTTCCAACACTTGCTAGAAGCCAGCATTTGCATTTATTTTTGATTCGATTTACGTGCAAAATAATAATTGATTGCATCGCAATATTTTGCACATTTCTTGGTGCCATTAATTAACCAACTAAGACCAATTAATCAATAGAGTTCGAATATTGTTTTTGATTCCAAAAACTAGTTGAATTTGAAAAGCACACGAAACATAAAGGTGATTGAATTTCTGTTCGATTGCAATACTGTCATATTTAATCTAGTAAGAATAAGAAATCATCTGACAAATTCTAATAAGAATATTGACATTGGAAGCGGAACACTTTTTCACTTTTCCTGATAAAATGATTTATTTATTTATTTATTTAGGGGAAATGTAGGTAATGTCGGCCTAAGTGTCCCATACATAAACTCAGCAATCGACTGAATTTTCAATAGCAACCAAGAATATCCATTAGTACGGACGGTACTGACGCGTTCATCTAGATACAATTGATAAATAGCAGATTTTTAGCGATGGGCCCAATCTTAGATCCATAGGCCAACATTAGAGCCATTTCCCCTATTCATTTAATTCTGTATCATTTTTGCAAGGATTATGCTACTGTTCAGAAATATTTTTGTTGAGAAAAATTGAAAATTTCAATAGTGCTTAAGTGGTTATGATCTTCCGGAAAAGTTCTACTATTTGGGTTATCGTTCGTTTATGGTATTTGTTTATTAGGGAAATCAGTTCAGATGTGTGGAAAATCGTAAAATAATACAATTACTGATGGAAATTAGCAAGATGTTCAATGAAAAATGCTTTCATTTGCGTTGTGAAAAATCCTTCTTCTGATGTAAACAAACGGTTTGGTTGACGTTTTCTCTCGAACTCGCGTAGTACCAGACCACCTTCATTCTTTGGAATTTATAGAGACAGAAAACAGCGCCAATCCAGCTTTCCATGCTCGGTAATGGCGGCTTGTTTGTATGAATAAATGTATCCTTCACTGTGTTTTTCGACACTAACTGGAGGAATTCCAGGGAAAGGGAGGGGTCAAAATCCGAACCCCCAGATAGTGTCAAAAAGCACAGTGAACATACACATTTATTCAGGTCATAATCATTCGCTGCCAGACTGTTGAGCAGTTCAGTCGATTTGAATTCTCTCTAGTTTCGTTCGTTCGTTCGCAAGTCGAATTAGCTCCGCGTTGTGTAGTGACGCTCTCGCTGACCCAACCATGGGTAAGAAATCGCGCGGTAACGCGAGTGCTGGTTTACCGGGAAAACAGACTCTCCCAGGAGACGGCGCGACCACCGAGCCAGCCCAGAAGAAGCAGAAGAAAACCCCATTGCCCATCCCGACAGGCGTTGCGGACCCGCAGCCGGGGCCTCCCGGAACTAAACGACCCAGACCTGAAGACAGCAGCGCCACCGTATCAGCAGCAAAAAAGCTGCTGAGCAACAATCCGTTCTCCGCCCTGCAGAACGGAGCGCAGCCGCAGTCGGACCCTGAGACGGTGCCGAAAAAAGTTAAGTTGCCACCCTTCTATGTGAAGGGCTTCCCTCCCGGGCTATGGGAGCAGCTGAATTTCTACATTAAGCAGGGCCTTCGCTGCACCATTCAACGGTGCACGGAAGGCTACAAACTGATGGTCCCGGCCGAAAAACACTTCAACGCAGTTCAGGCCCTCTTGGACAGAATGAAGCTGGAGTACTTCTCCCACGACATCGAGGCCACCAAGCCGCTGAAAGTGGTGCTGCGCGGGCTCCACGACATGGACACCACCACCTTAATGGACGAGATTAAGGCGAACGGCCTCAAGCCGGTCGAAGTCCACAAGATGACCCGCAGCAAGGCCATCAAGTATCGTGACCAGCTCTACCTGGTCCATCTGGAGAAGAACTCCACAACCGTGAAGGATCTCCAGACGACACGCACACTGTTCCACATCGTAGTGAAGTGGGAGCGGTATAAACCCACCCACCGTGGCGTCACTCAGTGCTCGAACTGCCTATTGTTCGGGCACGGCACCAGGAATTGCCGCATGGCCAGCCGCTGCATCAAATGCGGCAAAAACCACAAGATCGACAACTGCGACAGCATCGAGGAAGCCACTCCCACATGCGCCAACTGCGGTGCCGCCCACAAGGCCACGAGTAAGGCCTGTCCGAAGCGGGCCGAATACGCCGAGATCCGGAAGAAGGCCTCGTCCAACAGCCAGCCCGGTCGCAAGAAGGTTCCAGAAAACAACGCGCAGAACTTTCCTCCGTTATCACCGGTCCAATCACGGCCAATTCCAGTGTTGCCGCCGCTCCCGCTCAACCAACAGTTGGCTGCCGCTGCAGTACCCGGTCAAGCCTCCGGGCCATCGACGGATCCCCCTGCTCCGGGATTGGCCGGTACAACCGGTGAAGCTACAGACGATTCTCCGCTGTCAACGGATGAGATCGTCACACTGTTGGCCCAGGCCATCATCATCAAGCGCACCTGCGCAACAAGAACACAACAGCTCCAAGCTATCATCTCCTTCGTCGCTAATTATGGACCGTGAACCCATAAAGATCGCCAACTGGAACGCTCGCTCCGTAGGGGCGAAAAACATTGAGCTTGCAGACTTCCTCCGCAAGCACGACATCGACGTGGGCCTTCTCACCGAGACCCACCTCAAGACCGGTGACAGCTTCTGGCTGCCCGACCACAGCATTGTCCGGCTTGATCGCACCAGCTCCAGGGGGGGTGGTGTCGCGGTCATCATCAAGAAAGGCATCAAGTACTGCACCCTACCCCACTACCGCACTTCCATCATCGAGGCCGTCGGCGTTGAGGTGGAAACATCGACCGGAAACGTCCGGTTCATCGTTGTCTACTGCCCCCGGCAATGTACCGTTAGCAATGGTACAGCACAGCAGTTCAAGAACGACCTTGCCATCATAACCCGCACCAATGCCCGCTTCGTAATCGGAGGGGACCTGAACGCCCGGCACGAGGCCTGGCGGAACTACCAGCAGAACCAGAACGGCCGCCTGCTATTCGACCATTCCCAGCATGGTCTCTATTCCGTCTGGTTTCCGGACGAACCAACCTTCACATCACCGACGGGCAACCCATCGACGCTGGACCTGTTCTTGGCAAACACCAGATTAGCCAAGCCGGTTGCCGTCAACGACCTGAGTTCGGACCACCAACCGGTGCTGACCGAGCTGGGCTACAACGTGGCCCCTGCACCGTGCCAGCGGAAGGACTACCATCGAGTCAACTGGGTCCAGTTTCGACGCGTGGTCGACCGCCACATCGACGACAACCCACCGCTCGACACAGTGGATGACATCGACCGGGCCCTGGAGGGTCTCCATCAAGCCATATCCGAGGCTGACGAAGAGTGCGTTCGACGAGTTCCTGTGAGGGGTAAGTTTCAAGCAATTGATTCCCACACCAAACTCTTGATTCGGCTCAGAAATGTTCGTAGACGCCAGTTTCAGCGGACTGGGGATCTGCAGCGTAAATACGAAATGGTCGATCTGAATCGGCAGATCGCTTCCAGAATGGTCTCAATCCGGAACGAGAGTTTCGGGCGGCTCGTTCAGAACCTGGACGACCGTTCCAGACCATTCTGGAAGGTTGCCAAGGTGCTGAAGTCTCACCCCAAGCCCATTCCACCACTTAGAGTCAATGACGAACGGCTTATCACCAACGAAGAGAAGGCCAATGCAATTGGGGAGCACATTGCCCAGTCGCATTTGCTTGGCTCTACAATCCCAAGTCCACTCGAGAACCAGGTTGTGCAGTGCGTCCAGACGTTAGATGCCTCCCCTTGTGCCGTCCCTCCAGAAGAACGGATTACAGAGGAACAAATTTGCTCAGCGCTGAAACACAGTACGAACATGAAGGCTCCCGGGTTTGACGGAATATTCAACCTAGAGTTGAAAAATCTCAGCGCGAGGGTGCACTCGCTGCTGGCTGCCATCCTCAACAGATGCTTGGAGCTGCACTACTTTCCAAGCATCTGGAAGGTGGCAAAAATCATCCCGATCCGCAAACCTGGGAAAGACCCTTCACTACCGTCAAGCTACAGACCGATTAGCCTGCTCTCAGCGCTGAGCAAGCTGTTCGAAAAATTGATCCTCAGCCGACTAAACAAGTTTGTGGAGGAACATGACATTCTTCTTCCGGAACAGTTCGGGTTCCGTAAGGGGCATTCCACCAATCATCAGCTAGTGCGGGTGATGAATAACATCCGGAGTAACAAAGCTGTATCCAAGTCCACAGCCATGGCCTTGTTAGACGTCGAAAAGGCGTTTGACAATGTCTGGCACGACGGACTTATATACAAGCTTTGTAACTTCAACTTTCCACCATACCTTGTGAAAATCACCCGTAACTATCTCCAGCAAAGGTCGTTCAGGG